AATATAGATATAAGTATAGGTTTAATTCTTATGCAACAATGTAATTTAACTTAATTTTTCACTTTTTATTAATTGAATATTCATAGTTTACTAGTTACAAAGAGACAGACGGCCGAAAGGGATTCAAGAGTTCAAACCAACAGGCAAAACAACGACAAAGACAAAGAGAAAGGCATACTAATGCATTTCAAACTTTGTAGTCCCCATAAAATGGCCTTATTGTTCAACACTCTATTTGTACTAGAGCTTTTTTTATTTTTTATCTATTTAGTTTTTAGTTTTTAGTTTTTATCGGTGTCCTGTGTTTGCATTGAACCTTCATTAATTCGGATTGACGCAACATAAACTCACTAAAAATAAAGGTATATCCAAAATTTTAAAAGCATAAGTGCATCAGGAGTAGTGGTGGTAAAATGGTTAAAAGAAAATAATTAACTATTCATATTATCTAGTAAAAAATGGGTTGGATAATGAACTTTTATAAAACGGGTCAAATATGAATAAGAACCATATTATTCATTTAGAAAATGGATAACTAATGAGTAAACATGGATAATCAATGGGCCTAACATTTACATTTGTAAAGTTTTAAATTGAGGGTTCCTCAAGTTATGGAGACTAAGAATTCTCCCAAAAATGATCATATGCAAGAAGTCTTGGATAATATGGTTACACATATTATCCGCCGATTAACCCGTTTTTTATCCGTATTAAATATGGGTCAGGTCGGATAATTGATCCGTTTTTTTTATTACCTATTTTTGACCGAACTATATCCCATCCGACCCGCACGTCTGCCACTCCTAATGAGGAGTGTTGGAGACCGAAGTTTTCGAGAGAACGTCTAAGAAATATATTTTTGGTTTAGGAATTTTAATAGTCAAAACAAAGACTAAAGAAAGAGAACGAAAAAAACGCAAAACCAATTTAAAAAAAGGGGGAAAAAATCAAAAAAGTGTGTTTAATTAGAAAAACGACAGGGAAATGAGGATTTTACCGTATTTATTAATTAAAATATAATTTAAAAGAAGGAGGAGTACTAAGACTATATATGATTTAAGGAGAGGAGTCTATGCCCTCCCATGCCATTGGATGGATTCCTACTAGTGCTGCAGTACTACTATCATATTTGCATTCGAGTGAATGCTTATATTGGATTGACCAAATCCTTTCCATTCTGCATTGGTTTTTCGGCCGTCGAGGTCGAGCCGTGAAATCAATTACTAATGTATCAGAATAGGTTGCTTACATTATATCTTTTGGAATGTGATTTTATTTCAAATCCTAAGTAAACATGAGATATTTCGTGTGCATTGAATTGTTCCGTTTATTCAACATTGGTTTTTCATTCACACTAAAACCTCAATCTTTACTTTATTGACAGATTTTTCATGGAAATTCAAGTCACTGACACCCCCAACTTATCTCATCCTATCTGATTAAGACTTAAAGATTTGTCTTATATTAATCAACTTTTTTTTTCTTTATCTTTCATTTTCTAATCATTTTCTTCTTTTGAACCGGCGGACGGAACCACTCTTTCTGTTTATCATAATTATTGGTTATGAATTATTGAATACAGCCAAGGTACAGTGGAAATTTTCCATCAATAGATGTCAAAATTTTGTTTTCAAATTAAAAAGAAAAAACATGAGCCTGTTATCTTTAGCAATAAGATTTTGAATCTTTTACCGCTACATATTCTTTTATATTTAATTTAACACACATGTTTCATATCACCTTGTCTTTTAAACGGTAAAAATATTAACTGACATAACACACATGTTTCATATNGCAAGATTTTACACTTTATAAGTTCTAAATTTAAAATAGCGACACCAGTTATTAATAATTGAGTTTTGAATATAATTTTTATACATATTTAGTGGAATTCTCAATATAAAAACAAAATTTGCACTAAAACTATTGAATTCGGCGGAACTCATATGTGACCTTCTAGCTACGTCCCTCTCGAGTCATTGTTCATATTTTAATTATTTAAAAAGAATGAGCTCTCGGAATTTGTGATCATGAGAAAAATAGTTACAGTCAAACCTCTCTATAACAGTTTCGTTTGTTCCGAATATTTTTGGATGTTATAGCGAAGCGCTGTTATCGAGAACGTATATTATAACATAACATGAAATTTGGTTCCGAAAAAATTTGACTTTTATAGTAAATTATTGTTATATACAGATGCTGTTATAGAGAAGTCTGATTGTTTTAATTATTTATTCATAATAGCAAACATCAGCTATGTTTGGCTTTTTAAAAAAGTTTGAAGACAAGAAAATATTCTTAACTTGCAAACGACAGTCTTTTTGTACTTGCCTTGTCAAGTTCCTCTCTCATTTTTGGTAACTGGAAATCTGGTTCGACAAAAGCACCTTTAAAAAGAAGGGTTTATTTTCCAAAAATTACCTTATAAATAACTTGCTTATTTAAAATATTTTTGGTGACTAATTTACGTAGAACTTAAATGTAGAAATGACACTAGGTAGCCATCTAAAGGGCTGCTATTTAGAATTTAGTCGGTGCTTTCTGGATTTCAGTTGAATTTTTCAGGACAATAATGTTTTGAATTGTCTTGAATTTAAGATTTTTAATTTAAAATTTCAGGACAAAATAAGCATTAGTTAATCTCTAAATAGCATCGGTAAAAATAGTTATCTGTGCCCATTTCTGAATTTTCATTTCTCTATGTAAAAAGTGTTAAAATACGTAAATCTTATGAGATCGCATTAATCTCAGACTATATACTTCTTTTAACCAATTTTGTGGACAATAAGAGTAGAAGATAAAAAAACAGCTTGGTGCACGAGACATTCCGTATTCACGCAAAGTCCGGAAAAAGACCATACTCCAACGAGTATGATGTAGTACAGTCTAACCTAATATAAGCATTAGTGGTTGTTTTCACGGCTCGAATCCGTGACCTATATGTCACACGGAGATAACTTTACCGTGCTCCAAGGTTCCCCTTCAATAAGAGTAGAAGCAGGGGGAGGGAGAGCATTAGCTGCGGGTTCGGACGAACTCATTAGGTTTTGCTTAAACCTTGTATTTTTATTAGAAAATTTATAAAATATATATAAATATTTAATTGTGAACACAGTAACTAAGATAAGCAGTGGATTCAATAATAAATTTAGAACCCATAAACTTCATATCCTAGCTCCGGCACCGAGCAGCTCAAAATATTACCATTTTAAAAACCATAGGTTTCTATTAGAATAATATATAAACTAATTAGACCCCAAACCACCAGCAGTTCAGACCAAAAAATAGTGTAACTAATGTGGATTCAGCTTTTTTTAGAACTCAAAGCTAGTCTTTTAAAGTTCAAGTTCACATATTCATTGGTTTGCAACTGTAACATTCCTACTTTATGCTATTAAAGATGTGTAAGGTACCTTTTTTATCTAGTTTATGTAAGCATACAGTTCCATTAACTTTCACTAATTTTTGATTGATTGTTGCTCAGACTATGTAATACAATGGGAATTTAAGTTTTGCAACTTTACCATGTGACCAGAAGGTTATGGGTTCGAGCCGTGGAAACAACCTCTTGTATGACTGCGTATAATATACCCTTGTGTCCAGTACTTCTTTGGACCGCGCGCATAACGGGAGCTTAGTAGACCTGACTGATTTTTTTTTTCAACTTTACCAGTTGAATGTGAATCAAGAACGCCAAAATAGAGTTTTTTCACCAAGTTATTACCCTTTGGACACCACAAAAAAAGTGTCAAATATGCACTTTAAAGACCTATTCTTTTGAAACACTGGGCCATAGCATGAGATCACTACCACTAAACAAAGTAAAAGTGATTTTGTCTGACTCAGGATGATGTGGCAGGACTAAGGTGACTTCATGACTTGGGAAAAACTCATGAAATATGACCAAAGTTTTTGGAAATAGACATTATACAAAGATGAGGAAAAGAAAAAGAAAAACTCAATTTCATGCATTTAAGGATTTGATTTAGTAATCAATGAAATTAGTGAAAAATAAGACAAATTAGGGTTCAAATTTTTTAAGAGGCCAAAAATCTATTTGATTTTTCTCATTTACCTAAACTTAGGTGGGCAGAGTAATTCCTCACGGGTGTTAGTGAGATAGTAGGTATGCGCTAGTCCGGTACCAAGTAAAATAATTGAGGTGGTCTAGCAAGTACCTGCATGCTCGATATTTGTGCTAGCAGACAATAACATATATTTAGTGAAATAAGTTAAGGTGCGCGTAAACTGACTGATGGATATAGCATATATTGATGGTTATGTGATTTTTTTATTTGTCTAAGTCTTGATGAGCATATACTTGGCTATCTATATATGTTTAGGGAGATAACAGATACGTTCTAACTTTGTAGCTGCTAATAGATAGTAACAGATACCTAGTGAAATAATCAAAGTGGTCACCAGTAAGGTACACGCAAGCCTCGCACTAGTGAACAATAGCAAATACATAGTGAAATAATCGAGCTGGTACATTTGCCCGATACTTGTGCTGGTGGATAGTATCATATAGTGACTGACCCAGGATTTTGTGCAAGCGGGTTCAATCTTAAAAGTACATAACTTTAGTCGTAAAACAGTAGTTGTCAAGGGGGTTCAAATAAAATATTTATACAAAATTTACGCAACTTTAATCGTAATATATATATATATATATGTATATGTACAGTATTATTTTTGATGAAGCGGGTTCAGTTTGCCACCACGTGCGTCTACCACTGGTATCAGATAAATAACGGAATAGTCGAGGTGCAAGTAAGCTAGCTCGACCCAATTCCTGCCTACAAATCTTTAACGGTCAATAGTGCTTGCTTTGGCGGGAGATAACTGTTGTTTAGGTGTGAACTGAATTTTGATTTTGGTGGGGTCACTCTTTATGGAATTTAATTTATTGTAACCTTTCGGTGTTCATATATTTTTTGGACTATAAATTTCTCTATAGCCTATAAAAAACCATCCTCACTCATTTGTTATTACTCTACACATCTTCTCATCTTCATATACACCAAACTAAGAGTCATCAAAATTTGCTATTAGAAAATAATTAATCTTTTTGAAGTTTTGACAATTTCTTGTGCCAATTTAAGGCATTTTACCTTGTGGGGTTTTAAATTTTTACTTGAATTTACTTGAATTTACCAATTTCCAAGATCTTTTTTCAAGGGCTAAGTGGGGTTTTGGCTAGAATATAAAGTTCTGATTTTTTTGTCAGAGAAGATGATTTTCTTGCTCCAGGGGAGCATTTTATCAAAGTTTATCACAATTCTTGAATTCAGTGTAGCTAAAAGTTTTTATTTTTGGATCTTTTTGATTTTCAATAGGTATAGAGGCACTTAGTTGTCCTTGAACAGAACATTTATCGGAAACAGCCTCTCTACCTTAACAAGGTAGGGGTAAGGTCCGCATATACACTATCTCCTCAGACCCCACACTTCTACCTCCCCAGACCCCACGTGTGAGATTACACTGGTCTGTTGTTGTCGTCGTTGTACAGAGGCACTTAGTTTTGGATATTTTCTTGATTTGGAACTTGAGAAATTACTTAAATGGGAGGAACATCACTGCCTCCAGGATTTCGATTTCATCCAACTGATGAGGAATTGGTTGGATATTACCTGAAAAGGAAAACTGATGGACTTGAAATTGAATTGGAAGTTATTCCAGTAATAGACTTGTATAAGTTTGATCCTTGGGAACTTCCAGGTATACATTTTATTTTTATTGATTCGCGTCGAATAATAAAAATATTGACTGAATATTGAGAAAAATAATTGTTGAACAATTGCAGAACATACATTTTGTAATCTCAATTACATTTGCCAATGATTTCCCCCGAAGCGCTACTCCCTCCGTCCCAAAAAGATTGATACACTTTGGATTTCTAGAGTCAAACGAGTTGTTCTTTGACCTGACTTTTTCATATGCCTTTTGAATTTTCTGAATTGTTAATTATTACTTATGACTTATAGTAGTTTTTATGTAGTTTCTAAATAGGTAAATTTATTACAAAAAATTTAAAGATTCTATGTTCAAATTAGCCGTCATAACTACGAATTTGACTCTCGAAACCCGAACTGTATCATTATTTTTGGGACGGAGGAAGTAATATTTTGTGCATTTCGAGCTTCATGATACTTTTGAACTGAAATTAAACTGGAAAGTTGTTGCTTTATGACTTATATGTTTGTTCCTTTATTATTGTCTAAATAAAAAAGATGGAGTGTTCTGTGGGGCCTCTCTCTTTCTTTTTTTTCATATTTGAAAGTTAAATTATTAGTATCTAATTTCAAACCCTGACCACATATTACAAGATGAAAAGCATATATAAAGCAATAGAAGTTTCTCATTATAAATGGTTCATGATTTGCTTACCTGAAATGGAAACTTTAGGATTCTGAGATCATGCAGAGACGGATTTAGGATGGGTTCAGAATTTAATATTTGTTAACGTTTTTAGTAGTTTTAGTGTTTTTTAACATTTATGTTTGTGTTCTGTGTCGAAAATACCGTGTTCAGTTGAACCAACAGAATGTAGGCTCTATCGTCCTCTGACATCTTGTCCTAAAAAATGCAGAGAAATCGTTCCTGCCAAAGCGCGACATGGAATGGTTCTTCTTCTGTCCTCGGGATAAGAAGTATCCGAATGGCTCACGAACCAATCGAGCGACTAAGTCCGGATACTGGAAAGCGACAGGGAAAGACAGAAAAGTTACCTGTCATCAGCCTGAAGTTGTTGGATATCGCAAGACATTAGTCTTCTATCGTGGAAGAGCTCCTCTTGGCGATAGAACGGATTGGGTAATGCACGAGTATCGTCTCTGTGATGATGTTTCTCAAGGCACTCCAACTTTCCAGGTTGATTCAACAAACTCAGTGTTTGCTTCTTTAATTAACTAAATCCAAGAATTCAAGAAGTTGATCATATTCTGCTATGTTGAATATGTTTAGGGGCCGTTTGCTCTTTGTCGTATCATCAAAAGAAACGATGCATCACTGAAAACAAGTGACACTTCAGTAGCAGTCTCAAATGAACCTGTTGTTCTTACTGCTGAGACGCCTACTCAAACGACGTATATGTCCAGCGATAGCAACTATTCGACTCCTATGACTTCTCCTTATGAGGGGACTAATGCAGCAAACTTTTGGATGTCACATGATATGATTCTTGATTCTTCAAAGGTATTGAGATTGTTTCTTTTTTCTATGTATTTCAATCTGGTTTTTTCTTTGAACTTCGTATTGATTTTGTTGGGTGCAACTTAGGAATGTTCTCAAGGACAGAGTACTCGTGGAAACTATCTGCATTACGACTTCCCAAACACGACATTAACACAACCAAATGATCGATTTGAGGTCACTTCGAGTTCATCTTTCCCGAGTTTTAGAGGAGAAGTTGAACTTTCTGGCGATCTCAGTAGCTATGGTTGTGTATCTCCTTACTCGGTTCATGGAAACTACACGGGATTCTATGGCAACGACGATATGTCCTATGAAGGTTATTATTATGATCAAGCCAACTCATTCGTAAAATCCAAATCTTTTTCTAACAAATGAAACGGAAAAACTAATTTAGTGTTTTCTGTCTTTACTGCAGGATATGAAGGTTGGAATCAAGCTAATATGGGAGATTTTAATGGTCTATGGTCGCACGAAGATAATTTTCAGTAATTTGATGAAAACATCTATAAGAAAGAGCTCAATGCAACTCGGTTTACTTTGACAAACTCTATTGTTATATGAGACAACAGATTTTTATGTTTGTCTCAGAGTCATTCGATTACAGCACGTCGAGTTTAGTTCCCAAGTTCAATCCTAGTAGCTAATATGTTTTAGTACATTGTTGTCATTTTAAATATTGAAATACCTAGTGATGATCCTTTTTAATGATCACATTAGGAAATGGTCTTAGTTTGTAGCTGGTTTCTGGTTCTGATTTGTATCACCTTTCTGTTTCTGATCATTTCTTATAATGTAACCAAAATGTCAGTAAACTATATGATGGACAAATGGTTTTTCCCACTTTTTATGAAGTTGCAGTTCTTGTTGTAAAACTTCTATTGTGCATCAACAAAGTTTCCTCATTAGCAACTGTTTGTTACATTCTTCAAAGCAATCGAACTTATTAAAGAAAATGGACATTGGGTCTAATACTATCCCAAAAGCTAGCTCATGAGGTACGAATACGAGCAAACACCTCATTTCTCCAACCATTGTTGGACACTTAACACCTCCGTACACGCCTAAGACTGGACATTTGGAGCTTAGACAACAAAATATGGGAGCCTAATATCAGGTAAACCAAGAATTAAGATGGGTTCGGCTCTGATATCATCTTAAAAAAATGGACCGTGGGCCAAACTCCAAAGTCAAAAAGCTAGCTCATAAAGTGGGGATTGCCTAAAATCATGTAAGGAGGTAATAACTCATCATTCCCTCAACTAATGCACGACATTTAGGTGAACTATTTAAACATTTCTTACAAGATTCCGAAGAAACTGTTTAAAGCATTAATTACTAGCTGATTAACTTGCTAAATGCATAAGCCTTGATTGAAATGTTAAAAGGTATCATCTGGTTGATTATAGATTTCTATGTTGCTTGGACTCTTCAAAAAAGTCATCGGGCGCGTGTCGGATCCTCCAAAGGTAGTGTATTTTTGAAGTATCCGACAAAGATACGACAACATTTTTGAAGAGTCCAAACAACATAGATAGACTTCATAGGTTCCAGATTCCTCTTGACCTAAAAAATACCTAACTCTTACTCATAGTTGGGACAACTTTATTGACCTTTCGTCTGTGGACTAACCATGTACAAGCCCTGCATTTTAGGGTGGTTTTCATTGATTGCATACTACCAATTTGCAGTATATATGACCTCTTATTTTTAGACTCTTGGACATGCAAAAGACTGTTCTTGTGTTACTAATGTTGGACTTTAAGCCATTGGGCTTTAAAGTAGAAGAAGTGTGAATTGGAAATGGAGGGAAATAAAATGGAGGAAAAATGAAAAATTTGAAGAAGTGAACTTTTGTCTTGCACTTTGTCCCTCATTGGTGAGGGACAACCACATTTGTGTGCTTATATATAGAATCACTTCTTAAAGCTCTTAAAAGGAGTTGAAGAGAATGAACCCTCGCGTCGTCGTCGTCGTCACTCGCTCGGCTCGACTTTGGATTTGGATTTGGAAAATGATCGATAAAATTATTTTTTGGACAAAATTTATTTAATTATTTAATAATTAATTAAATGCCAAATCATTGCTGAAAAAAAAACGCCAGAATCCTGCTGAAGATTCAGAGGGTCTCTCTGGCCGCGGTTCTACCGCGGCAGGCAGATTCAGAGAGCCTCTCTGACCGCTGTTCTGCCGCGGTCGCGGTAGAACCGCGACAGGCAGCGTATTCTTCTGAAAAGGCACCTTTTCCAAACACCTCTTTTGATAATTGCCTATAAATTCTAAGGCAAGGCTCCATTTTCAAAATACGAAAAACACTCTAGAACTTCTTTCTTTCTGAATACATTGCATCCTAATTCGTAGTCTCTCTATCTCAAATTCGTAAGTGTGATTTTGCTCCGTTCTTTGAGTTCGTTGGTATCCTGCAGTTTGTATTGCCACTGTTGCAGGAAGGTTTATTCCGTTTTATCCTGGGAGGATTTAATCCATTACCTTGGCAACGTGTGAGGGAGTTAAAATTCCTTAAGGACGCACAAGAAAATTGTGGACTCGGAATATTTCTTATTGTTTACTGTTTTTTGTTCCAGTTTTTCCTTCTAACAGTTTTTCTTTAGTTTCCTCCTAATTTTGTGTTTCCACACAGGATTGTTAACAAGCTTAAGGAATTTTAAAAATCTAACAGTTCTGTGTTGAAATATATATATTAAACTGTTATCTATATTTTGTATACTGGTTTGGAGACTAAAGCCTTCGTGCTTTCTACTCCAATAATTGTTCTGTCTGGTTTAAAGTATAAAAAAACTTTACCGGAATAATAAACGTACGGGTTTGAAGTATATCAGAACTTCAACATTGTTACGTGTTGTATGTTTGGTTTGGCATTCAGTTTGAAGATATCAAAACTTCACTGATTTAACAAAGTTTTGTTTTGTTTCCAACTCTACAGAAACATGACGAATGAAAACCAAACTAATGGAAATGTTGCTGGAACGGGTGCTACTGTTATGAGTGTTGTTGCCTCGTCAAGACGTTCAACTCCTGCTCATGCTATGGCACCAGCAGAAAAACCTGGAAAGTTTTCCGGTATTGACTTCAAACGTTGGTAATTGAAGATGCTCTTCTATCTTACTACATTGAGTTTGCAGTGATTCATCAAGGAGGATCCTCTNGATGTTGCGGGAATGGGTGCTACTGTTACGAGTGTTGCTGCCTCGTCAAGCCGTTCAACTCCTGCTCATGCTATGGCACCAGTAGAAAACCCGGAAAGTTTTCCGGTATTGACTTCAAACGTTGGCAAATGAAGATGCTCTTCTATCTGACTACGTTGAGTTTGCAGCGATTCATCAAGGAGGATCCTCCGGTCCTGGCTGAAGGCACTCCGGATGATGAACGATTTGTGGTAACTGAAGCATGGAAACATTCTGATTTCTTGGGCAAAAACTACATTTTGAGTTGTTTGAAAGATAGCTTGTACAATGTCTATAGTGTCATGGAAACTTCAAAAGCATTATGGAATGCACTTGAGAAGAAGTACAAGACTGGGGATGTCGGACTTAAGAAGTTCGTGGCTGCAAGGTTTTTGGATTTCAAGATGATTGACACTAGGTCGGTCATAACTCAAGTCCAAGAATTACAAGTCATTGTACATGATCTCCTTGCTGAAGGTATGACCCGAATCAATAATTTTATTAATAAGATTTTTCGTGTTATTAATAGTGAATTTATTATTGAAGGTATGGTCATTAATGAGGCCTTTCAAGTCGCTGCTTTCATTGAGAAGTTACCTCCGTTGTGGAAGGACTTTAAGAACTATCTTAAACGCAAGCGGAAGGAGATGACACTTGAAGACTTGATTGTTCGTTTGAGGATAGAAGAAGACAACAAAAATGTTGAAAAGAAGTCACGTGGAAACTCGACAATAATAAAGACTAACATTGTTGAGGAGGCGCCACAAAATAAGAAGAGGAAGAAGGCTTCTGGACCAAATAATTACCCAAGCAAGAAAAAGTTCAAGGGTAATTGCCACAACTGTGGAAAATCTGGGCATAAGGCCGTGAATTGTCACGGCAAAGAATGATAAGAAGAAAAAGAATCAAGCTAACATGGTTGAAGATGAAATGGAGGACTTATGTGCCATGTTGTCTGAATGCAACTTGGTAGGAAATCCAAAAGAATGGTGGATAGATTCTGGAGCCACCCGCCATGTTTGTGCTAACAAGGAGTTATTTTCTTCTTATGCCCCCACAAGACCCGACGAGACAATCTTCATGGGAAATTCATCTACGGCCAAAATTGAAAGAGTTGGCAAGATTCCGTTGAAGATGACGTCGGGAAAAATAGTGACTCTAAACCAAGTCCTCCATGTTCCATAAATTCGCAAGAATCTTGTGTCTACCTCACTTCTTGTCAAGAATGGATTCAAATGTATTTTTGTTTCTAATAGTGTTGTACTTAGTAAGAACGATGTATATGTAGGAAAAGGTTACCTAAATGAGGGCCTTTTTAAGCTAAATGTAATAGCAGTTCCTATCAATAAAGTGAATGTTTCTTCTTACTTACTTGAGTCAAACACTTTATGGCATTCGCGTTTAGGTCACGTAAACTTCAAAACATTGCGGAAGATGATAAATCTAGAAGTATTGCCAAAATTTGATTGCATTAATTCCAAATGTCAAATATGTGTGGAATCAAAGTATGCTAAGCATCCTTATAAGTCCGTTGAAAGGAATTCAAGTCCTTTAGACTTAATTCACACAGATATTTGCGACATGAAGTCAACACCATCTCGCGGTGGGAAAAAGTATTTTATTACTTTTATTGACGATAGCACGAGATACTGCTATGTTTATTTACTTAATAGTAAAGATGAGGCAATTGATGCTTTCAAGCAATACAAGAGTGAAGTTGAAACGCAACTAAACAAAAAGATCAAAATGATAAGAAGTGATAGGGGTGGCGAATATGAATCTCCTTTTGAAGAAATTTGTTTGGAAAATGGCATTATTCACCAAACAACTGCCCCTTACTCTCCACAATCTAATGGAATTGCGGAGAGGAAGAATCGAACGTTTAAGGAGATGATGAATGCATTGCTAATAAGTTCTGACTTACCACAGAACTTGTGGGGGGAAGCTATACTTACAGCTAACCGGATAATCAACCGTGTACCTCATAGTAAAACACAGTCCATTCCTTATGAAAAGTGGAAAGGAAGGAAGCCTAGCTTGAAATACTTCAAAGTGTGGGGGTGTTTAGCTAAGGTACAAGTTCCTAAACCTAAAAGGGTTAAGATAGGTCCAAAAACGGTTGATTGTGTGTTTATTGGATATGTAACCAATAGCAAGGCATATCGTTTTCTGGTTCATAAATCAGAAAATCCTGAGATTCACATTAATACGATAATAGAATCAGATAATGCTGAATTCTTTGAAACTATTTATCCGTATAAAAAGGAAAGTGAATTGACCTATCAAAAGTCAAAAAGACCTCGGGAGGAAATAATAAATGATATGCCCAATGAGGAAAATCCGAGAAGAAGTAAACGTCAACGGACATCTACTTCATTCAGTCCAGATTTTCTAACTTTCCTGCTAGAAAATGAGCCTCGTTCCTTCAAGGAAGCAATGTCTTCCTCAGAAGCACAATATTGGAAAGAAGCTGTCAATAGTGAAATAGAATCCATATTGAGCAACCATACCTGGGAATTGGTTGATCTTCTTCCAGGTAACAAAACGTTGGGTTCTAAATGGATTTTCAAGAAGAAAATGAAAGACGATGGTACTATTGACAAATACAAGGCAAAATTTGTTGTCAAAGGTTTTAGACAACGAGAAGGTCTTGACTATTTTGACACATACTCGCCGGTAACAAGAATTACATCCATTCGAATGCTAATAGCGTTAGCCGCCTTGTATGGTCTTCAAATCTATCAAATGGATGTAAAAACATCATTCTTAAATGGTGATCTTGAGGAAAAAATTTACATGAACCAACTTGAAGGGTTTGTGGTTCCGGGAAAAGAAAAGAAGGTGTGTAGACTTGTCAAGTCCCTTTATGGACTAAAACAAGCACCCAAGCAATGGCATGCGAAATTTGACCAAACAATGTTGTCAAATGGTTTTAAGATTAATGAATGTGATAAATGT